AACAGCATGATCCACTGGTAAACATTTGCCACTCCCAAGACTCGCCACCACACCCAGTCCTCTGCCTTCCACATCCAGCCACTACCCGCCACCTTATTCACGTCAACGGTCCATCTGGCCGAAATTCACTTTACCATACACCCAACTTAAAATATGGTATAGTTGTGAAAATACGTAGGTGCTTGGTTAAAAATATCTAAAGTTATAATACTTCTCAATTTGAACTTGGCAGGTTTTTGTGCTCTACGTAACACTTAATTAATTGTATCATTAATTTATTATTTAGTTATACATATAATTATTTATATTTATATAATTTAAATATTATATAATTTAAATAATTAAATTAACCTGCCAAGTTCAAATTTAGAAGTATTATAATTTTAGATATTTTTAACCAAGCACCTACGTATTTTCACAACTATACCATATTTTAAGTTGGGTGTATGGTAAAGTGAATTTCGGCCAGATGGACCGTTGACGTGAATAAGGTGGCGGGTAGTGGCTGGATGTGGAAGGCAGAGGACTGGGTGTGGTGGCGAGTCTTGGGAATGGCAAATGTTTACCAGTGGATCATGCTGTTGATGAAGATGATTATGATCGATTTCAAAGTGCATCTAAACTTGGCATTAGATTGGATTTCACCCCTTTTTTAAGCAAACAATTAGAAGATTGGAACTTGGCCCCCTTTTTAACAGGCATGTTTTTGGTGAGATTTCAATACTTTTTTTCAAGAAATCGTACATACAATCGTACTATACAGCCGTACAATGCATAACTTACAGCATGAAACATACAGCTACCATCTGATGGCATAGGAATTACCCTATGTGGTATATCTCCGCCAACCACCGAAAGATATACAATTTCCATCGTTGGTAAATGAATAGTAGAAAATAAATAGAGTGAATTTGTGCTTTTAACATACACAAGTAATCAATCAATAAGCAATATCAAAATTAATCCTTTAGCAAGTCAAATCAGTGATCCATTTAATCGTAATCGTAACCATAACATATCAAGACATAAGTGTAGAAAGAAATAGAAAGAAATGACCATCGATTCCTTATCGACTTTCATTCATATTATATACTGCAGACAAAACAATATCGCGATTCAATTATACCGCTAGCGCCATCTATCGAAAGTAATTTATAACAATAGGTACCTGATTTTTTAGGTAAGCAATATTTAATTAAGTTATACAGTGTGCATTATGTATACATGACAATATTTTATATCCCTTATATATAGGGGAGAGTCGGATATATCGTACCACTTTTCACTTTAACTCAAATATTTCGACGATAACACGTCTTATAATAATTAATACATATGTAAAATAAAGTTTCATATTTTAGCTTCCTAAAAAGAAGAGAACAGATCCTTGCGATATTCTAACATTGTTAAAAATGCTTTTTTATAGAGGCTTGCCATCGGTACGATTTAGCCGACTCGTCGTTTTAATCGTACCACTAAGTCTTTAAATCGTACCATGGGTGTTTAAGTCGTACCACTGAATGAAAGACATTAAAATTCTCAATCAAATTATTTATTTTTGACTGTTAGGTAAGTACCTACTAAAACAACATTATTTATATCTTTTAGGTAATAGAAACATAATTTTTAACTCTTAGGTTATATAAAGGAACTATAAGCTTTCTCAGTAAAATAACATGATTATACTATGATAATGAGATCAATCAACATAACTAATAAAAATGAAACAAAACAGTAAACTATAATACTAAAGTAACAGTTAACAAGAATGTTATTTGTAATATAATTATTCTGCATATTTCTTAATGGAAACAATCATGACAAATGTCTGGATTCGAAGTAGGTACGAGTACATGCCTCATGTAGCCACCGTTTACAGCGATCGCATTGAATCCAATCAACTTTTGGACCCTTCTTATCGTAGTAAGAACAATTGCACTTTCGTCATATATTTTCAAGATAATCATCGCTGTCATCATCATCATCTAGTTCTACAACAAGCGTCTCTCCTGAATCATCGCTACTGGTGATGGAATGAGATCGTTTCCTCTTATAACTTTTGTTTTTGGCCTTGGGTAGTACTTACTATACGTACTTGCGGTAGTACTATAGGTACTTGCGGTTGGTAGTCGGGTAAATCGTACCAGTACAATTTAACCAACTGCAAGTGGTACGATTAAACCAACTAAGGCATTTCTAAAACAAAAGCAAATATCCGGCATAAACTCAAAACTTAGACATGCAACAAAAACCCCCAATAATCTAGTATACAATTGTGGAATAATAAAAAAAAATGAATAACTATAGCTAACCTTGATTACGAGTTATCTCCTTACGAATGTACGACAATATTTATATTAATTCCTACAAAAAATGTTTTTTTTTTTATTACGTGCACAGTTGTTAACTCACGTCGATGTAAACTAGTGGGTGAAGAGGAATGGTACAGGGCCACGATTTGGCGTTGTCAATGTAAAAAAAAATATTCATTAAATGGGAAATTAAGAGGTGGTACGATTTAAATGCTAGTACGATATAACCAACTCTCCCCTATATATCAGTTCTTAAGAAGCGCCCCACACTTTTTTCACAATAATATTAATTTAAAAATAAAAATAAATTAACAAACAATAAATGGTATTTTTGTGAAAAAAAAGCGTGATGAGCTTCATATATCACTTCTTGAGAAGCGCCCCACGCTTTTTTTTCAATAATACCATTTATTGTTTATTTTAAACAATTTAAATTAAATTGATTTCCAAGGTTGTAAAGGTTAAATTAGTTTCCACGCGGTTTCTTTCATCATTGGAGCGTGTTTTTTAGTTTTTTTTTTAAACTATATTTATTTTTTATTTTTTAGTTTCATTTATCACCGATTGATAGATGTACTCATATTATTAATTATTAATATTTCATTATTATGTATTTTATTGTGCTGAGCTGAGCGCCTATATAAAGATTTTGATTACCTGTCAGTGAGTCAGTGCCAAAATTAGCTATTTTCACAGGGTCATATTTCAGGATCTACTGAAGCTTTAACTATGAAATTTGGCATACTGCTTTAGGACTAGTATATGATTACGTAGGTACAATTTTATCTCTATACTTGCAATAGACACTGAGCTACAGGGGGTCAAAAGTGGGTCGAATTTATTAAAAATTCGATATTTAGAATTGTGGCAACTCACGCTTGACCGATTTCTTAAATTTCTTAATTTTTTGTCAATCTACATATAACAAACAACCTGTGTACCAAATTTCATAATGCTAAAACAATGGGAAGTGGCCTAGAGGTTTTGATTACCTGTCAGTGAGTCAGTGCCAAAATTAGCTATTTTCACAGGGTCATATTTCAGGATCTACTGAAGCTTTATCTATGAAATTTGGCATACTGCTTTAGTTCTAGTATATGATTACGTAGGTAAAATTTTATCTCTGTACTTGCAATAGGCACTGAGCTACAGGGGGGTCAAAAGTGGGTCGAAACGGTTCGTGTAAATATAGTGCACGGCATGCGCCGGCCTGTGGAACTTGGCCGGCGCACTGCCGTGCGCTTAGATGTATAAGTTTAAAGAAAGCGGAATAGTGAGTGAAGTTGTAAAGAATATTTGATTTATCTTTTAAAATGCATGTTTCTGACGTGAATTGTGATGCTTGATCTGATTTTAGATATCTCAGTGAGTTTCTTCAGATACAAGTTTTTTGTATTTTCATCCTTATTATATTATAATAAAACCTTTTTAAATATTTCGTTCGGAAATGAACTCTTTTTTTATATATGTAAAGTAATGTAATTAGTTCATTAATTAATGCAAAATGCTGTCAAACTTAAAGCGAGTTTCCAAAATATTTAATGCTTATATATTTTTAATAAATGAAAGGACTCAGACTGATTTTGTAATTTTATTCTTTAAGTACATATTATTATTATCATTAGTAGGAAAAATGTTCAGTAGTTTTAAAGTAATGTTTACAAAAGAATTAATCAAGGCATAAGTAATGACTGCTCGCTAAAACATAGTTTTCTTTGGATGGTTTCACAAACTAACAAGAACAAATGCCTCAACAGAAAGTATATAGACATTGAAATAGTTTCTTTATAGGAATTATATTATTTATTTAGTTTGAAATGTTTGGCAAAACATGAGCAGAACATGTCTTGGCTTCTGAATAGAAAGACCTGGATATTTTGTAGGTTAATATACGTAAACACTGACTTGCTTAATATTAAAAAAATACATTTGAATTCTATAAATATAAAGAGGGCAATTGGACCTTAAGCTCTCTGTATTGGAAACACGTGATGTTTTTATTAAGAGAAACTTGAAAAGAAAATCAGATGCTTGAATCCTCAAGAGATTCTTATACAGTGTAGACTTAAACAGAGCTTGTAGTCATTTAAATAAAACTAATATTTTTTTGGATATAAATATAAGAGTTTAGAGTAAGTTTTTTTGCAAAAATATATAGTATGTGCAATAAATATTGGTTTCATTTAAATTAATAGAACTCGCGAAAGTCTTCGATCTCGTGAAAGTTTATAGTTGTTGTTATATGTTAGTTGTAAATCATGATTTTCTATATCATTTCCAGAATCATCTGATATAAAATTTGTATTCACGTAAAAGTTCGTCTCCAAAAACGTCTTTCTAAAAAGACTTTAATTTATTTTATTTCTTAAATACAACAAATTTATTTATATAAGGAACTAGTTTTTGCCCGCGACTTCGTCCGCGTTATTTCGTCATCGTCATATCGTTAATCGTAATACTTTTTCCTTTGTTCTGATTTTTTTATTGATATTTTTTACCTTTAAGCCATAAATCTCCGTGTTCTGAAAAGCTACCGAATGATTGACATATTAGTTAATTATGAAATCTAATGTAAAAAAAACCACATTTGTATGGAAAATAGAAAAAAGGGCTGTTTTTAGGGTTTTTCCGTAAATCATTCAATTTTTTCAAGCTTATGCCACGCTCACGCCACGCCAGGCTCACGTCATGCTCACGCCACGCCAGGCTCACGCCAAACCAGGATCAGGTCACGCTCACGCCACGCCAGGATCACGTCACGCTCACGTCACGCTCACGCCACGCCAGGATCACGTCACGCTCACGCCACGCCATGCTCACGTCACGCTCACGCCACGCCCACGCCACGCTAGGCTCACGTCACGCTCACGCCAGGATCACGTCACGCTCACGCCACGCTCACGCCACGCCACGCTCACGCCAGGCCCACGCCAGGATCACGTCACGCTCACGCCACGCCAGGGCCACGTCACGCTCACGCCACGCCACGCTCACGCCACGCCCACGCCAGGATCACGTCACGCTCACGCCACGCCAGTATCACGTCACGCTCACGCCACGCCAGGGTCACGTCACGCTCACGCCACGCCAGGGTCACGTCACGCTAACGCCACGCCAGGCTCACGTCACGCTCACGCCACGCCCACGCCACGCCAGGCCCACGCCACGCCAGGCTCACGCTCACGCCACGCCACGCTCACGCCACGCCCACGCCAGGATCACGTCACGCTCACGCCACGCCAGTATCACGTCACGCTCACGCCACGCCACGCTCACGCCACGCCCACGCCAGGATCACGTCACGCTCACGCCAAACCAGTATCACGTCACGCTCACGCCACGCCAGGGTCACGTCACGCTCACGCCACGCCAGGGTCACGTCACGCTCACGCCACGCCAGTATCACGTCACGCTCACGCCACGCCAGGGTCACGTCACGCTCACGCCACGCCAGGGTCACGTCACGCTCACGCCACGCCAGGATCACGTCACGCTAACGCCACGCCAGGCTCACGTCACGCTCACGCCACGCCCACTCCAGGATCACGTCACGCTCACGCCACGCCAGGATCACGTCACGCTCACGCCAACTCTCAGCTCTCTCAGCTCGTGACTGTTGAATTTACATAGAAATTCAGAATATTGGATTTAAAATTGATTATTAGCTTAGTATGAAATATAGATTATTCCGTGTAAGAAATAATATGGAATGGAATGGAATAATGGAATATTCTATAAGATTATTCCATTGTGTACAGAAAATATTTCGGACGGTAACAAAAGAGGTTGAATTATTCTCTAAGGTTGTTAGAGAAATCAATGTATGTAATTGATCCAATTTATTATGATATATACACAAATCAAAATGTTGGATTTTATTACTGCTTGAGTTTTGTATGTTAATTTATAATTTACACTTACCATAAACTATTACATATTTAGATCCGCTGTACGTATAAATTTAATTCCCTGAAACTACGGCTTTATTTATGGACCAGCCTTTATGAATTAAGAACAATGAAATATGCTTTACAAGTTGACCAATATTGTTCGATGTTTACAACGCTGTCCAACAGTATCCAATGTTGTCTAAGTGCCACCAATACGAATGTCACTTGGGCTATTGACATTGGGAAGAAGAAATGAGTACGTGATAATATATGTATAAGTTTAAAGAAAACGGAATGGTGAGTGAAGTTGTAAAGAATATTTGATTTATCTTTTAAAATGCATGTTTCTGACGTGAATTGTGATGCTTGATCTGATTTCTACATTTTTCTCCGTATTTTTTATTCTTCTACCTGGCAATTTAACGGCTATAGCCAGGGTCTGCCTTACATGTTGTGAATAGTTCTGGCTAATTGTTTTTTACGACCGGCCGCCTGCCTGACATCAACCATCTTTTGGCAATCAGCATTAATCAGTGAGGTCTAAATATTCGTAGAAAGTACATATGATCAAGTACCAATCACATTGGTACTTGCCCGGGCCAGGATCGAACCCGCGCCCTCGGCAACGAGAGGCGGGCCCTCTAACCACTAGGCCACCACTGACTTGTTTTTTGTATTTCTTATTGTATGCTTATAAAAACTTTTTCAAAGTTTGTCGTTCACAAACGTATCCTTTTTTTAATAAAAAATATAACTAAGTACTTCATTAATTAATGCAAAATATTGTAAAACTTAAATCGACTCACCCAAATATTTAGTGCTTACATATATTTTTTAAATGTCAATCAGCTCTGGTTATTTTATTCTTTAAATACTTATTATTATAACCATTATTATTAAGAATGTTCAGTAGTTTTTGAGTAATGTTTACAAAACAATTAATCAAGGCATAATGACTGCTCGCTAAAACATAGTTTTCTTTGGATGGTTTGACAAACTAATAAGAACAACTGCCTCGTATTTTTGAGCCCTAATTTATGTATGGACTAAACAGAAAATATAAGACATTAAAATCGTTTCTTTATAGGAATTATATTATTTATTTAGTTTGAAATGTTTGGCAAAACATGAGCAGAACATGTCTTGGCTTCTGAATAGAAAGACCTGGATATTTTGTAGGTTAATATACGTAAACACTGACTTGCTTAATATTAAAAAAATACATTTGAATTCTATAAATATAAAGAGGGCAATTGGACCTTAAGCTCTCTGTATTGGAAACACGTGATGTTTTTATTAAGAGAAACTTGAAAAGAAAATCAGATGCTTGAATCCTCAAGAGATTCTTATACAGTGTAGACTTAAACAGAGCTTGTAGTCATTTAAATAAAACTAATATTTTTTTGGATATAAATATAAGACATTTCGTCTGCCCGTGATCACGGTTGATTTTAAGTAGCCGAAACGTAGGGGGTATGTAGTTTTTTTGCAAAAATATATAGTATGTGCAATAAATATTGGTTTCATTTAAATTAATAGAACTCGCGAAAGTCTTCGATCTCGTGAAAGTTTATAGTTGTTGTTATATGTTAGTTGTAAATCATGATTTTCTATATCATTTCCAGAATCATCTGATATAAAATTTGTATTCACGTAAAAGTTCGTCTCAAAAAACGTCTTTCTAAAAAGACTTTAATTTATTTTATTTCTTAAATACAACAAATTTATTTATATAAGGAACTAGTTTTTGCCCGCGACTTCGTCCGCGTTATTTCGTCATCGTCATATCGTTAATCGTAATACTTTTTCCTTTGTTCTGATTTTTTTATTGATATTTTTTACCTTTAAGCCATAAATCTCCGTGTTCTGAAAAGCTACCGAATGATTGACATATTAGTTAATTATGAAATCTAATGTAAAAAAAACCACATTTGTATGGAAAATAGAAAAAAGGGCTGTTTTTAGGGTTTTTCCGTAAATCATTCAATTTTTTCAAGCTTATGCCACGCTCACGCCACGCCAGGCTCACGTCATGCTCACGCCACGCCAGGCTCACGCCAAACCAGGATCAGGTCACGCTCACGCCACGCCAGGATCACGTCACGCACACGCCACGCCAGGATCACGTCACGCTCAAGCAACGCTCACGCCACGCCAGGCTCACGCCAGTCTCACGCCACGCCAGGATCACGTCACGCCAGGATCAGGTCACGCTCACGCCACGCTCACGCCACGCCAGGATCACGTCACGCTCACGCCACGCCCACGCCAGGATCAGGTCACGCTCACGCCACGCCAGGATCACGTCACGCTCACGTCACGCTCACGTCACGCTCACGTCACGCTCACGCCACGCCAGGATCACGTTACGCTCACGCCACGCCATGCTCACGTCACGCTCACGCCACGCCCACGCCACGCCAGGCTCACGTCACGCTCACGCCACGCCCACGCCAGGATCACGTCACGCTCACGCCACGCCAGGATCACGTCACGCTAACGCCACGCCAGGCTCACGTCACGCTCACGCCACGCCCACGCCACGCTAGGCTCACGTCACGCTCACGCCACGCCAGGACCACGTCACGCTCACGCCAGGATCACGTCACGCTCACGCCACGCTCACGCCACGCCAGGATCACGTCACGCTCACGCCACGCCCACGCCAGGATCAGGTCACGCTCACGCCACGCCAGGATCACGTCACGCTCACGTCACGCTCACGCCACGCCAGGATCACGTTACGCTCACGCCACGCCATGCTCACGTCACGCTCACGCCACGCCCACGCCACGCCAGGCTCACGTCACGCCCACGCCACGCCCACGCCAGGATCACGTCACGCTCACGCCACGCCAGGATCACGTCACGCTAACGCCACGCCAGGCTCACGTCACGCTCACGCCACGCCCACGCCACGCTAGGCTCACGTCACGCTCACGCCACGCCAGGACCACATCACGCTCACGCCAGGATCACGTCACGCTCACGCCACGCTCACGCCACGCCACGCTCACGCCACGCCCAAGCCAGGATCACGTCACGCTCACGCCCCGCCAGGATCACGTCACGCTCACGCCACGCCAGGGTCACGTCACGCTCACGCCACGCCACGCTCACGCCACGCCCACGCCAGGATCAAGTCACGCTCACGCCACGCCAGTATCACGTCACGCTCACGCCACGCCAGTGTCACGTCACGCTCACGCCACGCCAGGGTCACGTCACGCTCACGCCACGCCAGGCTCACGTCACGCTAACGCCACGCCAGGCTCACGTCACGCTCACGCCACGCCCACGCCACGCCAGGCCCACGCCACGCCAGGCTCACGCTCACGCCACGCCACGCTCACGCCACGCCCACGCCAGGATCACGTCACGCTCACGCCACGCCAGTATCACGTCACGCTCACGCCACGCCACGCTCACGCCACGCCCACGTCAGGATCACGTCACGCTCACGCCACGCCAGTATCACGTCACGCTCACGCCACGCCAGGCTCACGTCACGCTCACGCCACGCCCACGCCAGGATCACGTCACGCTCACGCCACGCCAGGATCACGTCACGCTCACGCCAACTCTCAGCTCTCTCAGCTCGTGACTGTTGAATTTACATAGAAATTCAGAATATTGGATTTAAAATTGATTATTAGCTTAGTATGAAATATAGATTATTCCGTGTAAGAAATATAGATTATTCCATTGTGTACAGAAAATATTTCGGACGGTAACAAAAGAGGTTGAATTATTCTCTAAGGTTGTTAGAGAAATCAATGTATGTAATTGATCCAATTTATTATGATATATACACAAATCAAAATGTTGGATTTTATTACTGCTTGAGTTTTGTATGTTAATTTATAATTTACACTTACCATAAACTATTACATATTTAGATCCGCTGTACGTATAAATTTAATTCCCTGAAACTACGGCTTTATTTATGGACCAGCCTTTATGAATTAAGAACAATGAAATATGCTTTACAAGTTGACCAATATTGTTCGATGTTTACAACGCTGTCCAACAGTATCCAATGTTGTCTAAGTGCCACCAATACGAATGTCACTTGGGCTATTGGCATTGGGAATAAGAAATGAGTACGTGATAATATATGTATAAGTTTAAAGAAAACGGAATGGTGAGTGAAGTTGTAAAGAATATTTGATTTATCTTTTAAAATGCATGTTTCTGACGTGAATTGTGATGCTTGATCTGATTTCTACATTTTTCTCCGTATTTTTTATTCTTCTACCTGGCAATTTAACGGCTATAGCCAGGGTCTGCCTTACATGTTGTGAATAGTTCTGGCTAATTGTTTTTTACGACCGGCCGCCTGCCTGACATCAACCATCTTTTGGCAATCAGCATTAATCAGTGAGGTCTAAATATTCGTAGAAAGTACATATGATCAAGTACCAATCACATTGGTACTTGCCCGGGCCAGGATCGAACCCGCGCCCTCGGCAACGAGAGGCGGGCCCTCTAACCACTAGGCCACCACTGACTTGTTTTTTGTATTTCTTATTGTATGCTTATAAAAACTTTTTCAAAGTTTGTCGTTCACAAACGTATCCTTTTTTTAATAAAAAATATAACTAAGTACTTCATTAATTAATGCAAAATATTGTAAAACTTAAATCGACTCACCCAAATATTTAGTGCTTACATATATTTTTTAAATGTCAATCAGCTCTGGTTATTTTATTCTTTAAATACTTATTATTATAACCATTATTATTAAGAATGTTCAGTAGTTTTTGAGTAATGTTTACAAAACAATTAATCAAGGCATAATGACTGCTCGCTAAAACATAGTTTTCTTTGGATGGTTTGACAAACTAATAAGAACAACTGCCTCGTATTTTTGAGCCCTAATTTATGTATGGACTAAACAGAAAATATAAGATATTAAAATCGTTTCTTTATAGGAATTATATTATTTATTTAGTTTGAAATGTTTGGCAAAACATGAGCAGAACATGTCTTGGCTTCTGAATAGAAAGACCTGGATATTTTGTAGGTTAATATACGTAAACACTGACTTGCTTAATATTAAAAAAATACATTTGAATTCTATAAATATAAAGAGGGCAATTGGACCTTAAGCTCTCTGTATTGGAAACACGTGATGTTTTTATTAAGAGAAACTTGAAAAGAAAATCAGATGCTTGAATCCTCAAGAGATTCTTATACAGTGTAGACTTAAACAGAGCTTGTAGTCATTTAAATAAAACTAATATTTTTTTGGATATAAATATAAGACATTTCGTCTGCCCGTGATCACGGTTGATTTTAAGTAGCCGAAACGTAGGGGGTATGTAGTTTTTTTTGCAAAAATATATAGTATGTGCAATAAATATTGGTTTCATTTAAATTAATAGAACTCGCGAAAGTCTTCGATCTCGTGAAAGTTTATAGTTGTTGTTATATGTTAGTTGTAAATCATGATTTTCTATATCATTTCCAGAATCATCTGATATAAAATTTGTATTCGAGTAAAAGTTCGTCTCAAAAAACGTCTTTCTAAAAAGACTTTAATTTATTTTATTTCTTAAATACAACAAATTTATTTATATAAGGAACTAGTTTTTGCCCGCGACTTCGTCCGCGTTATTTCGTCATCGTCATATCGTTAATCGTAATACTTTTTCCTTTGTTCTGATTTTTTTATTGATATTTTTTACCTTTAAGCCATAAATCTCCGTGTTCTGAAATGCTACCGAATGATTGACATATTAGTTAATTATGAAATCTAATGTAAAAAAAACCACATTTGTATGGAAAATAGAAAAAAGGGCTGTTTTTAGGGTTTTTCCGTAAATCATTCAATTTTTTCAAGCTTATGCCACGCTCACGCCACGCCAGGCTCACGTCATGCTCACGCCACGCCAGGCTCACGCCAAACCAGGATCAGGTCACGCTCACGCCACGCCAGGATCACGTCACGCACACGCCACGCCAGGATCACGTCACGCTCAAGCAACGCTCACGCCACGCCAGGCTCACGCCAGTCTCACGCCATGCCAGGATCACGTCACGCCAGGATCAGGTCACGCTCACGCCACGCTCACGCCACGCCAGGATCACGTCACGCTCACGCCACGCCCACGCCAGGATCAGGTCACGCTCACGCCACGCCAGGATCACGTCACGCTCACGTCACGCTCACGCCACGCCAGGATCACGTTACGCTCACGCCACGCCATGCTCACGTCACGCTCACGCCACGCCCACGCCACGCCAGGCTCACGTCACGCTCACGCCACGCCCACGCCAGGAACACGTCACGCTCACGCCACGCTCACGCCACGCCAGGATCACGTCACGCTAACGCCACGCCAGGCTCACGTCACGCTCACGCCACGCCCACGCCACGCTAGGCTCACGTCACGCTCACGCCACGCCAGGACCACGTCACGCTCACGCCAGGATCACGTCACGCTCACGCCAAGCTCACGCCACGCTCACGCCACGCCCACGCCAGGATCACGTCACGCTCACGCCCCGCCAGGATCACGTCACGCTCACGCCTCGCCAGGGTCACGTCACGCTCACGCCACGCCACGCTCACGCCACGCCCACGCCAGGATCACGTCACGCTCACGCCACGCCAGTATCACGTCACGCTCACGCCACGCCAGGGTCACGTCACGCTCACGCCACGCCAGGGTCACGTCACGCTCACGCCACGCCAGGCTCACGTCACGCTCACGCCACGCCATGCTCACGTCACGCTCACGCCACGCCCACGCCACGTCAGGCTCACGTCACGCTCACGCCACGCCCACGCCAGGATCACGTCACGCTCACGCCACGCCAGGATCACGTCACGCTAACGCCACGCCAGGCTCACGTCACGCTCACGCCACGCCCACGCCACGCTAGGCTCACGTCACGCTCACGCCACGCCAGGACCACGTCACGCTCACGCCAGGATCACGCCACGCCAGGATCACGTCACGCTCACGTCACGCTCACGCCACGCCACAATCACGACACGCTAACGCCACGCCAGGCTCACGTCACGCTCACGCCACGCCCACGCCACGCTAGGCTCACGTCACGCTCACGCCACGCCAGGACCACGTCACGCTCACGCCAGGATCACGTCACGCTCACGCCACGCCACGCTCACGCCACGCCCACGCCAGGATCACGTCACGCTCACGCCCCGCCAGGGTCACGTCACGCTAACGCAACGCCATTCTCACGCCACGCTCACGCCATGCCCACGCCAGGGTCACGTCACGCTCACGCCACGCCAGGATCACGTCATGCTAACGCCACGCCAGGCTCACGTCACGCTCACGCCACGCCCACGCCAGGATCACGTCACGCTCACGCCACGCCAGGATCACGTCACGCTCACGCCAACTCTCAGCTCTCTCAGCTCGTGACTGTTGAATTTACATAGAAATTCAGAATATTGGATTTAAAATTGATTATTAGCTTAGTATGAAATATAGATTATTCCGTGTAAGAAATATAGATTATTCCATTGTGTACAGAAAATATTTCGGACGGTAACAAAAGAGGTTGAATTATTCTCTAAGGTTGTTAGAGAAATCAATGTATGTAATTGATCCAATTTATTATGATATATACACAAATCAAAATGTTGGATTTTATTACTGCTTGAGTTTTGTATGTTAATTTATAATTTACACTTACCATAAACTATTACATATTTAGATCCGCTGTACGTATAAATTTAATTCCCTGAAACTACGGCTTTATTTAATGACCAGCCTTTATGAACAGTACAGTACTTGTAAAGCATATTTCATTGTGAAGAACAATGAAATATGCTTTACAAGTTGACCAATATTGTTCGATGTTTACAACGCTGTCCAACACTATCCAATGTTGTCTAAGTGCCACCAATACGAATGTCACTTGGGCTATTGGCATTGGGAATAAGAAATGAGTACGTGATAATATATGTATAAGTTTAAAGAAAACGGAATGGTGAGTGAAGTTGTAAAGAATATTTGATTTATCTTTTAAAATGCATGTTTCTGACGTGAATTGTGATGCTTGATCTGATTTCTACATTTTTCTCCGTATTTTTTATTCTTCTACCTGGCAATTTAACGGCTATAGCCAGGGTCTGCCTTACATGTTGTGAATAGTTCTGGCTAATTGTTTTTTACGACCGGCCGCCTGCCTGACATCAACCATCTTTTGGCAATCAGCATTAATCAGTGAGGTCTAAATATTCGTAGAAAGTACATATGATCAAGTACCAATCACATTGGTACTTGCCCGGGCCAGGATCGAACCCGCGCCCTCGGCAACGAGAGGCGGGCCCTCTAACCACTAGGCTACCACTGACTTGTTTTTTGTATTTCTTATTGTATGCTTATAAAAACTTTTTCAAAGTTTGTCGTTCACAAACGTATCCTTTTTTTAATAAAAAATATAACTAAGTACTTCATTAATTAATGCAAAATATTGTAAAACTTAAATCGACTCACCCAAATATTTAGTGCTTACATATATTTTTTAAATGTCAATCAGCTCTGGTTATTTTATTCTTTAAATACTTATTATTATAACCATTATTATTAAGAATGTTCAGTAGTTTTTGAGTAATGTTTACAAAACAATTAATCAAGGCATAATGACTGCTCGCTAAAACATAGTTTTCTTTGGATGGTTTGACAAACTAATAAGAACAACTGCCTCGTATTTTTGAGCCCTAATTTATGTATGGACTAAACAGAAAATATAAGACATTAAAATCGTTTCTTTATAGGAATTATATTATTTATTTAGTTTGAAATGTTTGGCAAAACATGAGCAGAACATGTCTTGGCTTCTGAATAGAAAGACCTGGATATTTTGTAGGTTAATATACGTAAACACTGACTTGCTTAATATTAAAAAAATACATTTGAATTCTATAAATATAAAGAGGGCAATTGGACCTTAAGCTCTCTGTATTGGAAACACGTGATGTTTTTATTAAGAGAAACTTGAAAAGAAAATCAGATGCTTGAATCCTCAAGAGATTCTTATACAGTGTAGACTTAAACAGAGCTTGTAGTCATTTAAATAAAACTAATATTTTTTTGGATATAAATATAAGACATTTCGTCTGCCCGTGATCACGGTTGATTTTAAGTAGCCGAAACGTAGGGGGTATGTAGTTTTTTTGCAAAAATATATAGTATGTGCAATAAATATTGGTTTCATTTAAATTAATAGAACTCGCGAAAGTCTTCGATCTCGTGAAAGTTTATAGTTGTTGTTATATGTTAGTTGTAAATCATGATTTTCTATATCATTTCCAGAATCATCTGATATAAAATTTGTATTCACGTATAAGTTCGTCTCAAAAAACATCTTTCTAAAAGACTTTTATTGGTTTTATTTCTTCGAAATACAAAAAATTTATTTATATAAGGAACTAGTTTTTGCCTGCGACTTCGTCCGCGTTATTTCGTCATCGTCATATCGTTAATCGTAATACTTTTTCCTTTGTTCTGATTTTTTTTATTGATATGTTTTACCTTTAAGCCATAAATCTCCGTGTTCTGAAATGCTACCGAATGATTGACATATTAGTTAATTATGAAATCTAATGTAAAAAAAATCACATTTGTATGGAAAATAGAAAAAAGGGCTGTTTTTAGGGTTTTTCGGTAAATCATTCAATTTTTTCAAGCTTATGCCACGCTCACGCCACGCCAGGCTCACGTCACACACACGCCACGCCAGGGTCACGTCACGCTCACGCCACGCCAGGATCACGTCACGCTCACGCCACGCCCACGCCACGCCAGGCTCACGCCACGCCCACGCCACGCCAGGCTCACGTCACGCTCACGCCACGCTCATGCCACGCCAGGATCAGGTCACGCTCACGCCACGCTCACGCCACGCCAGGATCACGTCACGCATTCGCCACGCCAGGGTCACGTCACGCTCACGCCACGCCAGGATCACGTCACGCACACGCCACGCCAGGGTCACGTCACGCTCACGCCACGCCAGGATCACGTCACGTTAACGCCACGCCATGCTCGCGCCACGCCAGGCTCACGTCACGCTCACGCCACGCCCACGCCACGCCAGGCTCACGTCACGCTCACGCCACGCCAGGCTCACGTCACGCTCACGCCACGCTCATGCCACGACAGGATCAGGTCACGCTCACGCCACGCCAGGATCACGTCACGCATTCGCCACGCCAGGGTCACGTCACGCTCACGCCACGCCAGGATCACGTCACGCACACGCCACGCCAGGGTCACGTCACGCTCACGCCACGCCAGGATCACGTCACGTTAACGCCACGCCATGCTCACGCCACGCCAGGCTCACGTCACGCTCACGCCACGCTCACGCCACGCCATGCTCACGTCACGCTCACGCCACGCCCACGCCACGCCAGGCTCACGTCACGCTCACGCCACGCCAGGATCACGTCACGCTCACGCCACGCTCACGCCACGCCATGCTCACGTCACGCTCACGCCACGCCCACGCCACGCTAGGCTCACGTCACGCTCACGCCACGCCAGGACCACGTCACGCTCACGCCAGGAACACGTCACGTTCACGCCACGCTCACGCCACGCCACGCTCACGCCACGCTCACGCCACGCCCACGCCAGGATCACGTCACGCTCACGCCACGCCAGGGTCACGTCACGCTCACGCCACGCCCACGCCACGCTAGGATCACGTCACGCTCACGTCACGCCAGGATCACGTCAAGCTAACGCCACGCCAGGCTCACGGCACGCTCACGCCACGCCCACGCCACGCTAGGCTCACGTCACGCTCACGCCACGCCAGGGTCACGTCACGCTAACGCCACGCCAGGATCACGTCACGCTAACGCCACGCCAGGCTCACGTCACGCTCACGCCACGCCCACGCCACGCCAGGATCACGTCAGGCTCACGTCACGCTCACGCCACGCCACGCTCACGCCACGCCCACGCCAGGGTCACGTCACGCTCACGCCACGCCAGGGTCACGTCACGCTCACGCCACGCCAGGATCACGTCACGCTAACGCCACGCCAGGCTCACGTCACGCTCACGCCACGCCCACTCCAGGATCACGTCACGCTCACGCCACGCCAGGATCACGTCACGCTCACGCCAACTCTCAGCTCTCTCAGCTCGTGACTGTTGAATTTACATAGAAATTCAGAATATTGGATTTAAAATTGATTATTAGCTTAGTATGAAATATAGATTATTCCGTGTAAGAAATATAGATTATTCCATTGTGTACAGAAAATATTTGGGACGGTAACAATGTTGTCTAAGTGCCACCAATACGAATGTCACTTGGGCTATTGACATTGGGAAGAAGAAATGAGTACGTGATAATATATGTATAAGTTTAAAGAAAACGGAATGGTGAGTGAAGTTGTAAAGAATATTTGATTTATCTTTTAAAATGCATGTTTCTGACGTGAATTGTGATGCTTGATCTGATTTCTACATTTTTCTCCGTATTTTTTTATTCTTCTACCTGGCAATTTAACGGCTATAGCCAGGGTCTGCCTTACATGTTGTGAATAGTTCTGGCTAATTGTTTTTTACGACCGGCCGCCTGCCTGACATCAACCATCTTTTGGCAATCAGCATTAATCAGTGAGGTCTAAATATTCGTAGAAAGTACATATGATCAAGTACCAATCACATTGGTACTTGCCCGGGCCAGGATCGAACCCGCGCCCTCGGCAACGAGAGGCGGGCCCTCTAACCACTAGGCTACCACTGACTTGTTTTTTGTATTTCTTATTGTATGCTTATAAAAACTTTTTCAAAGTTTGTCGTTCACAAACGTATCCTTTTTTTAATAAAAAATATAACTAAGTACTTCATTAATTAATGCAAAATATTGTAAAACTTAAATCGACTCACCCAAATATTTAGTGCTTACATATATTTTTTAAATGTCAATCAGCTCTGGTTATTTTATTCTTTAAATACTTATTATTATAACCATTATTATTAAGAATGTTCAGTAGTTTTTGAGTAATGTTTACAAAACAATTAATCAAGGCATAATGACTGCTCGCTAAAACATAGTTTTCTTTGGATGGTTTGACAAACTAATAAGAACAACTGCCTCGTATTTTTGAGCCCTAATTTATGTATGGACTAAACAGAAAATATAAGACATTAAAATCGTTTCTTTATAGGAATTATATTATTTATTTAGTTTGAAATGTTTGGCAAAACATGAGCAGAACATGTCTTGGCTTCTGAATAGAAAGACCTGGATATTTTGTAGGTTAATATACGTAAACACTGACTTGCTTAATATTAAAAAAATACATTTGAATTCTATAAATATAAAGAGGGCAATTGGACCTTAAGCTCTCTGTATTGGAAACACGTGATGTTTTTATTAAGAGAAACTTGAAAAGAAAATCAGATGCTTGAATCCTCAAGAGATTCTTATACAGTGTAGACTTAAACAGAGCTTGTAGTCATTTAAATAAAACTAATATTTTTTTGGATATAAATATAAGACATTTCGTCTGCCCGTGATCACGGTTGATTTTAAGTAGCCGAAACGTAGGGGGTATGTAGTTTTTTTTGCAAAAATATATAGTATGTGCAATAAATATTGGTTTCATTTAAATTAATAGAACTCGCGAAAGTCTTCGATCTCGTGAAAGTTTATAGTTGTTGTTATATGTTAGTTGTAAATCATGATTTTCTATATCATTTCCAGAATCATCTGATATAAAATTTGTATTCACGTATAAGTTCGTCTCAAAAAACATCTTTCTAAAAGACTTTTATTGGTTTTATTTCTTCGAAATACAAAAAATTTATTTATATAAGGAACTAGTTTTTGCCTGCGACTTCGTCCGCGTTATTTCGTCATCGTCATATCGTTAATCGTAATACTTTTTCCTTTGTTCTGATTTTTTTATTGATATGTTTTACCTTTAAGCCATAAATCTCCGTGTTCTGAAATGCTACCGAATGATTGACATATTAGTTAATTATGAAATCTAATGTAAAAAAAACCACATTTGTATGGAAAATAGAAAAAAGGGCTGTTTTTTTAGGGTTTTTCGGTAAATCATTCAATTTTTTCAAGCTTATGCCACGCTCACGCCACGCCAGGCTCACGTCACACACACGCCACGCCAGGGTCACGTCACGCTCACGCCACGCCAGGATCACGTCACGCTCACGCCACGCCCACGCCACGCCAGGCTCACGCCACGCCCACGCCACGCCAGGCTCACGTCACGCTCACGCCACGCTCATGCCACGCCAGGATCAGGTCACGCTCACGCCACGCTCACGCCACGCCAGGATCACGTCACGCATTCGCCACGCCAGGGTCACGTCACGCTCACGCCACGCCAGGATCACGTCACGCACACGCCACGCCAGGGTCACGTCACGCTCACGCCACGCCAGGATCACGTCACGTTAACGCCACGCCATGCTCGCGCCACGCCAGGCTCACGTCACGCTCACGCCACGCCCACGCCACGCCAGGCTCACGTCACGCTCACGCCACGCCAGGCTCACGTCACGCTCACGCCACGCCCACGCCACGCCAGGCTCACGTCACGCTCACGCCACGCCAGGCTCACGTCACGCTCACGCCACGCTCATGCCACGACAGGATCAGGTCACGCTCACGCCACGCCAGGATCACGTCACGCATTCGCCACGCCAGGGTCACGTCACGCTCACGCCACGCCAGGATCACGTCACGCACACGCCACGCCAGGGTCACGTCACGCTCACGCCACGCCAGGATCACGTCACGTTAACGCCACGCCATGCTCACGCCACGCTAGGCTCACATCACGCTCACGCCACGCCCACGCCACGCTAGGCTCACATCACGCTCACGCCACGCCAGGACCACGTCACGCTCACGCCAGGAACACGTCACGTTCACGCCACGCTCACGCCACGCCACGCTCACGCCACGCTCACGCCACGCCCACGCCAGGATCACGTCACGCTCACGCCACGCCAGGGTCACGTCACGCTCACGCCACGCCCACGCCACGCTAGGCTCACGTCACGCTCACGCCACGCCAGGACCACGTCAGGCTCACGCCACGCTCACGCCACGCCAGGATCACGTCACGCTCACGTCACGCCAGGATCACGTCAAGCTAACGCCACGCCAGGCTCACGGCACGCTCACGCCACGCCCACGCCACGCTAGGCTCACGTCACGCTCACGCCACGCCAGGATCACGTCACGCTCACGCCACGCCAGGGTCACGTCACGCTAACGCCACGCCAGGATCACGTCACGCTAACGCCACGCCAGGCTCACGTCACGCTCACGCCACGCCCACGCCACGCCAGGATCACGTCAGGCTCACGTCACGCTCACGCCACGCCACGCTCACGCCACGCCCACGCCAGGGTCACGTCACGCTCACGCCACGCCAGGGTCACGTCACGCTCACGCCACGCCAGGATCACGTCACGCTAACGCCACGCCAGGCTCACGTCACGCTCACGCCACGCCCACTCCAGGATCACGTCACGCTCACGCCACGCCAGGATCACGTCACGCTCACGCCAACTCTCAGCTCTCTCAGCTCGTGACTGTTGAATTTACATAGAAATTCAGAATATTGGATTTAAAATTGATTATTAGCTTAGTATGAAATATAGATTATTCCGTGTAAGAAATATAGATTATTCCATTGTGTACAGAAAATATTTGGGACGGTAACAATGTTGTCTAAGTGCCACCAATACGAATGTCACTTGGGCTATTGACATTGGGAAGAAGAAATGAGTACGTGATAATATATGTATAAGTTTAAAGAAAACGGAATGGTGAGTGAAGTTGTAAAGAATATTTGATTTATCTTTTAAAATGCATGTTTCTGACGTGAATTGTGATGCTTGATCTGATTTCTACATTTTTCTCCGTATTTTTTATTCTTCTACCTGGCAATTTAACGGCTATAGCCAGGGTCTGCCTTACATGTTGTGAATAGTTCTGGCTAATTGTTTTTTACGACCGGCCGCCTGCCTGACATCAACCATCTTTTGGCAATCAGCATTAATCAGTGAGGTCTAAATATTCGTAGAAAGTACATATGATCAAGTACCAATCACATTGGTACTTGCCCGGGCCAGGATCGAACCCGCGCCCTCGGCAACGAGAGGCGGGCCCTCTAACCACTAGGCCACCACTGACTTGTTTTTTGTATTTCTTATTGTATGCTTATAAAAACTTTTTCAAAGTTTGTCGTTCACAAACGTATCCTTTTTTTAATAAAAAATATAACTAAGTACTTCATTAATTAATGCAAAATATTGTAAAACTTAAATCGACTCACCCAAATATTTAGTGCTTACATATATTTTTTAAATGTCAATCAGCTCTGGTTATTTTATTCTTTAAATACTTATTATTATAACCATTATTATTAAGAATGTTCAGTAGTTTTTGAGTAATGTTTACAAAACAATTAATCAAGGCATAATGACTGCTCGCTAAAACATAGTTTTCTTTGGATGGTTTGACAAACTAATAAGAACAACTGCCTCGTATTTTTGAGCCCTAATTTATGTATGGACTAAACAGAAAATATAAGACATTAAAATCGTTTCTTTATAGGAATTATATTATTTATTTAGTTTGAAATGTTTGGCAAAACATGAGCAGAACATGTCTTGGCTTCTGAATAGAAAGACCTGGATATTTTGTAGGTTAATATACGTAAACACTGACTTGCTTAATATTAAAAAAATACATTTGAATTCTATAAATATAAAGAGGGCAATTGGACCTTAAGCTCTCTGTATTGGAAACACGTGATGTTTTTATTAAGAGAAACTTGAAAAGAAAATCAGATGCTTGAATCCTCAAGAGATTCTTATACAGTGTAGACTTAAACAGAGCTTGTAGTCATTTAAATAAAACTAATATTTTTTTGGATATAAATATAAGACATTTCGTCTGCCCGTGATCACGGTTGATTTTAAGTAGCCGAAACGTAGGGGGTATGTAGTTTTTTTGCAAAAATATATAGTATGTGCAATAAATATTGGTTTCATTTAAATTAATAGAACTCGCGAAAGTCTTCGATCTCGTGAAAGTTTATAGTTGTTGTTATATGTTAGTTGTAAATCATGATTTTCTATATCATTTCCAGAATCATCTGATATAAAATTTGTATTCACGTATAAGTTCGTCTCAAAAAACATCTTTCTAAAAGACTTTTATTGGTTTTATTTCTTCGAAATACAAAAAATTTATTTATATAAGGAACTAGTTTTTGCCTGCGACTTCGTCCGCGTTATTTCGTCATCGTCATATCGTTAATCGTAATACTTTTTCCTTTGTTCTGATTTTTTTATTGATATGTTTTACCTTTAAGCCATAAATCTCCGTGTTCTGAAATGCTACCGAATGATTGACATATTAGTTAATTATGAAATCTAATGTAAAAAAAAACCACATTTGTATGGAAAATAGAAAAAAGGGCTGTTTTTAGGGTTTTTCGGTAAATCATTCAATTTTTTCAAGCTTATGCCACGCTCACGCCACGCCAGGCTCACGTCACGCACACGCCACGCCAGGGTCACGTCACGCTCACGCCACGTCACGCTCACGCCACGCTCACGCCACGCCCACGCCACGCCAGTCTCACGTCACGCTCACGCCACGCTCACGCCACGCTCACGCCACGCCCACGCCACGCCAGGCTAACGTCACGCTCACGCCACGCCCACGCCACGCTAGGCTCACGTCACGCTCACGCCACGCCAGGATCACGTCACGCTCACGCCACGCTCACGCCACGCCAGGATCACGTCACGCTCACGTCACGCTCACGCCACGCCAGGATCACGTCACGCTAACGCCACGCCAGGATCACGTCACGCTAACGCCACGCCAGGCTCACGTCGCGCTCACGCCACGCCCACGCCACGCTAGGCTCACGTCACGCTCACGCCACGCCAGGACCACGTCACGCTCACGCCACGCTCACGCCACGCCAGGATCACGTCACGCTCACGTCACGCTCACGCCACGCCAGGATCACGTCACGCTAACGCCACGCCAGGCTCACGTCACGCTCACGCCACGCCCACGCCACGCTAGGCTCACGTCACGCTCACGCCACGCCAGGACCACGTCACGCTCACGCCAGGATCACGTCACGCTCACGCCACGCCACGCTCACGCCACGCCCACGCCAGGATCACGTCACGCTCACGCCCCGCCAGGGTCACGTCACGCTAACGCAACGCCAGGCTCACGTCACGCTCACGCCACGCCCACGCCACGCCAGGCTCACGTCACGCTCACGTCACGCTCACGCCACGCCACGCTCACGCCACGCCCACGCCAGGGTCACGTCACGCTCACGCCACGCCAGGATCACGTCACGCTAATGCCACGCCAGGCTCACGTCACGCTCACGCCACGCCCACGCCAGGATCACGTCACGCTCACGCCACGCCAGGATCACGTCACGCTCACGCCAACTCTCAGCTCTCTCAGCTCGTGACTGTTGAATTTACATAGAAATTCAGAATATTGGATTTAAAATTGATTATTAGCTTAGTATGAAATATAGATTATTCCGTGTAAGAAATATACAACGTGTAACGTAATTAACGCACACCCTCAAATACCCCAATGCGTATATAATGATATAAACGCAATGCATACACCAAATATTATTTATATGTGCGTTTGAATTTTTTATTTGTGAAATTAGCTTTCCCAATTTCGTGCAAATAATATGGTCCGCTATTCAGCGACACTCTGTACTCGCCGCGCCCGCGCCCCTCTCTCCGAGTGCCGTCCGACAATAATAAGAAGTAGGTAATAATAAGTACACGAAATAACTACATACATTATGATTTTTCTTTCCATCACACTTTTCAAGCTTTAGATTGTTGACATTGAATTTTCTTTTTAATGTGAAGCCAATATTTTATAATTACTGATTTGTTAAATTAAATTTGTAAATAAGAATTATTAAACAGCTGATAACGCGTGATTTGAATAGACACCACAATACCTACGAAAAAGTTAAACACAGTAGGCCTGTTTAAATGGTGTGTATCAAAATATTTACAATAATTTAAAGATCATAAACAAACTTACAGTTTAATTTGCACTCGCACAGCGTTGTCGTTTTAAAACATTTTCAAAATGTCCACCGCCTTGTTTAATGCACTTTAATGACCGTTTTCGCAATTGTGGTTTTATTTTAGATAATACTGCAATGTCACTTTTCACTTTTACAAAAGCGGTTATTATCTTATTTTTTACTTTTACTTGTTATCTCTGTGTTATAAACTAGCGATTTAATTCGCCCCCACAAAAAAAAGTCGAGTCGCGTCAAATCAGCTGATCTAGGAGGTCAATGGACACGTGCGTAGGTACTTGATGTATTGAATGTTAGTGTACCGAAACGACACAGCAAAATGCGCGACTAAGATTTTATTTGCACTTTACACTTGACCTCTTTTCGATAAGGTGGACGCGGCGTAACTAACTTACCCAAAACACATTTTGTTGACTTCGATGTTTAGTTATTATTACTCTGATTCCCGGAATTATGCCTGCCGTCTCGCTCTATTGTAAAGTTATTAAGCCGAAGAAAGAAGGAGAAAGTAATAATTTTTGTATTACGCGGCTTTCTTTTATGCACTGTAGTGACCTTGCTGTGTGCCGGTTGTCGCTGTGGTGTTGCGTGCGTAGTTATTATTAAATACTATTTTAGCCTTGAAATAAGTATCAGTTTTCTTTAATTGAATGATGATTACTAATTAAATATTTCATTTTAAAAATCTTAATACCCTGACTTACGATCCATTTTCGTTTCCATTAATTTTCGTTTCTATGAAGTGTTTAGATAACTGTGTGTAGGGTGATTATAATTTACTTAGTTCTATCTAAATTTGAGAAAAAAAATTACCTACATAAAAAACTATCAAAATCGATCCAGTATCCGATTCTGATCAAACTACTTTCAGAGTGTGCGTTAATTATGTTACACGTTGTAGATTATTCCATTGTGTACAGAAAATATTTCGGACGGTAACAAAAGAAGTTGAATTATTCTCTAAGGTTGTTAGAGAAATCAATGTATGTAATTGATCCAATTTATTATGATATATACACAAATCAAAATGTTGGATTTTATTACTGCTTGAGTTTTGTATGTTAATTTATAATTTACACTTACCATAAACTATTACATATTTAGATCCGCTGTACGTATAAATTTAATTCCCTGAAACTACGGCTTTATTTATGGACCAGCCTTTATGAATTAAGAACAATGAAATATGCTTTACAAGTTGACCAATATTGTTCGATGTTTACAACGCTGTCCAACAGTATCCAATGTTGTCTAAGTGCCACCAATACGAATGTCACTTGGGCTATTGGCATTGGGAAGAAGAAATGAGTACGTGATAATATATGTATAAGTTTAAAGAAAACGGAATGGTGAGTGAAGTTGTAAAGAATATTTGATTTATCTTTTAAAATGCATGTTTCTGACGTGAATTGTGATGCTTGATCTGATTTCTACATTTTTTCTCCGTATTTTTTATTCTTCTACCTGGCAATTTAACGGCTATAGCCAGGGTCTGCCTTACATGTTGTGAATAGTTCTGGCTAATTGTTTTTTACGACCGGCCGCCTGCCTGACATCAACCATCTTTTGGCAATCAGCATTAATCAGTGAGGTCTAAATATTCGTAGAAAGTACATATGATCAAGTACCAATCACATTGGTACTTGCCCGGGCCAGGATCGAACCCGCGCCCTCGGCAACGAGAGGCGGACCCTCTAACCACTAGGCCACCACTGACTTGTTTTTTGTATTTCTTATTGTATGCTTATAAAAACTTTTTCAAAGTTTGTCGTTCACAAACGTATCCTTTTTTTAATAAAAAATATAACTAAGTATTTCATTAATTAATGCAAAATATTGTAAAACTTAAATCGACTCACCCAAATATTTAGTGCTTACATATATTTTTTAAATGTCAATCAGCTCTGGTTATTTTATTCTTTAAATACTTATTATTATAACCATTATTATTAAGAATGTTCAGTAGTTTTTGAGTAATGTTTACAAAACAATTAATCAAGGCATAATGACTGCTCGCTAAAACATAGTTTTCTTTGGATGGTTTGACAAACTAATAAGAACAACTGCCTCGTATTTTTGAGCCCTAATTTATGTATGGACTAAACAGAAAATATAAGACATTAAAATCGTTTCTTTATAGGAATTATATTATTTATTTAGTTTGAAATGTTTGGCAAAACATGAGCAGAACATGTCTTGGCTTCTGAATAGAAAGACCTGGATATTTTGTAGGTTAATATACGTAAACACTGACTTGCTTAATATTAAAAAAATACATTTGAATTCTATAAATATAAAGAGGGCAATTGGACCTTAAGCTCTCTGTATTGGAAACACGTGATGTTTTTATTAAGAGAAACTTGAAAAGAAAATCAGATGCTTGAATCCTCAAGAGATTCTTATACAGTGTAGACTTAAACAGAGCTTGTAGTCATTTAAATAAAACTAATATTTTTTTGGATATAAATATAAGACATTTCGTCTGCCCGTGATCACGGTTGATGATAAGTAGCCGAAACGTACGGGGTATGTATTTTTTTTGCAAAAATATATAGTATATGCAATAAATATTGGCTTCATTTAAATTAATAAAACTCGCGAAAGTCTTCGATCTCGTGAAAGTTTATAGTATAGTAGTTGTTATATGTCAGTTGTAAATCATGATTTTCTATTTATCATTTCCAGAATCATCTGATATAAAATTTGTATTCACGTATAAGTTCGTCTCAAAAAACGTCTTTCTAAAAGACTTTAATTTATTTTATTTCTTCGAAATACAACAAATTTATTTATATAAGGAACTAGTTATTGCCCGCGACTTTGTCCGCGTTAATCGTAATACTTTTTCCTTTGTTCTTAAAGCTAAACCTTTAAGCTATAAATCTCCATGTTCTGAAGTGCTACCGAATGATTGACATATTAGTAATTATGAAATCTAATGTAAAAAAAACCACATTTGTATGGAAAATAGAAAAGGGCTGGTTTTAGGGTTTTTCCGTTAATCATTCAATTTTTTTCAGCTTTTAAACCTTCCCTGAACCTCCACGAACATTTCAAGACTAAGATAAATCCGTTAAGCCGTTCTCGAGTTTTAGTGAGACTAACGAACAGCAATTCATTTTTATATATATAGATATACGTATAAAATATTCATTGAATATATTAATTGCAATTGCAAAAACATGCTACATAATGCCGAATTGCAAATTCATGCATAAATTGTGCTACTAGTTTGCCTCTTTTATATCTACACTGTTTTGTGCAGGTGCATATTGCTATTTCCGTCCGTGACCCCGTTCATCCCACACAAGGATTTACATAACATTACGTGCCTTTACACTCTATTGTTTATATATAAAAATATTATATAGCTGTGTAGATACGGCTTAAAATCATTTCATATTATTACAGTATTATTGATTTGGTTAATATTGTAACAAAGTTTCAATTGAACTTAAATTTTTGCAGTGTTAATAATAATTTTACGGTTTCAGTGTTTATTTATTTTTATCATTACTCACCATAATAAATTTTTTTTTTGGGTACAAAAAACAACAGATGAGAATGTGGATAAAACCAAACTTGTAAAAACAACAATTATGTACATATGTATGTATGTGACATATAAATAGATCATAATCATTAATCACAGCTGTGTATAGGTGTAGGTACAGCATAATAAACTGGTAATTTTTAAAAATGATAACACAACATCTATGTAGAGTACTCTAATAAAGGAAAACAGGTCAACATTTCCATAAATTTATGAGCAATAATTGCTAGTCAAAGGCAATGTTGAAGCTCCTCTCCCTGCAACGATGGACCCGACACCCGCACAGTGAATCCATTGAGTGAAATTGAAAGAAGTTTCGTCTCTATAACTCGAATATTAGACATTTTCGAAACGAAAACTATGATACGTTCCATTTAATGTCAAATAATAATGATTTCATTGCATTGTTCTAGAATAACGGTGAAAATATTTGGCTGAAGTCACATTATGATCTATATCTAAACAGTTATATTTTATAACATGACGAAGTTAGTGAGAGCATAAAATTTTTTAATGCTTCTTTTTTATAAGTTCACGATAGCATTGTTAAAATATAATATAAGATTGAAGGGAATAAATTACTGTTTTATACATAAAAAAACTAAATGACATCAAAAGTTCAAGTTTGTTACACACAATTGATTAATGATCGTTGGCCATTAGAGGGAAGTTGAGGAATTTAATAATCTTTGGGGAGAAATTATAAGATGGCGGCAAAGATTTTATATCAAAAGTATATACAAGTTTTTCTATTATGTTACAATATTTGAAAGCTATATACTTAATAATAGTAAATAATCATATATTGGCGATAGACGCGGAAAATTCACTAATGAAT